TGGGTTTAAATTTCACCATTGATTAAACCCAATGAATAATCCTTGATGATGCTTTTCTTAATAATTTATTTTATAAAAATCCTTAAAGACTTGGTTTTCTCATTGAGGAATGATCTCAATATTTCTTAAATGAGAATTTTTGCGTTGGCAAAAGTAAATTCGTTTTTTTAAATCAAGATATTTTTTTGGTTTTTTGATAACTTTTATATTCCACAAAAATAACAAAGGTCATCTAATGTAAGTTTGATCTTTTTTTAGAAATTTTATTATTAAGAAAATAATTAAAGAACTAAAACATTCAAATAATATGCAAAAATTTTGGCATAATTAAATTAGGCAATAATATAGTATTTTACACCAAACTTAAAAAGCTCTAAACACTCATCAATCAAAAATTATACAATTTATTATATAATAATCTATGCTTGACTTCAAAAGCCTGCTTGACTTTTTGAAATCACATCCTACCGAGCAAGACTGTATTGATTACTTTGAGAAGTTGAGGTGAAATGGTAAGATAGTTTCTCCCTTTGACCCTAATTCCAAAGTTTATAAATGTGCTAAAAATAGATATAAGTGTAAGAACACCAGCAAGTATTTTAATGTCAAAACTGGAACAGTATTTAGGAATTCCAACATCTCTTTACAGAAATGATTTTGGGCTTTGTATTTATTTTCTTCCCATAAAAAAGGCATATCCTCTTACCAATTAACTAAACATATTTCTATTACTCAGAAATCAGCTTGATTTGTCTTACATCGTTTAAGACATATTTCGAACATTTCCTTATTTAAAGAAATGCTAAAAAACTTTGTCGAGATAGATGAGACTTTCATAGGAGGTAAAAACAAAAATAGACATTGAGATAAGAAAGTCCCTCATTGTCAAGGTCGGAGTTGAAAAGATAAAACTCCTGTGCTAGGAATGTTAGAAAGGAATGGCAACCTAATTACCCAAGTAATACCAAACACTCAACAGAGCATTATTGAACCGATTATTAAGGCAAATATTAAAGAAAATGCTAATGTCTATACTGATGAATGATTTGCTTATAAGGATTTAAGGAAATGATATAACCATAAGATAGTTAATCACCGAATTAAACAATATGTTAATGGTGAAGCAACTACTAACAGAATGGAAAATGTTTGGTCTCATTTTAAGAGAAGTATTAATACCTATCATTGAATAAGTAAGAAACATCTATCTAAATATGTGGCTGAATTCACAATGAGATTTAATACTAGAAAGTATCAAGAGCAAGAGAGATTTGATTTAGTTCTTTTAGCAAGTGTAGGAAAAAGTTTAAACTATGACCAACTAATTACTTAACTTCTTTCTTAATTCTTGAACCTCGTTTTTTAAATCAGTAATAGTTTTCTTATCTTCACTATTCTCTTTTTTTAAATATTTAATTTCTAAATCCTTTCGGGCAATTATTTCTTTGTATAACATGATTTTTAATTTTCTTATTTCGATTAGTGTGGGAACCAAACTAATTAGTATAGCAACTATTCAACCAACAATATCTTTGATAGTAATTGAACCTGTTTCCACTTTATTCTTTATGTTTTTTTTCTAAGCAATATCTACAAACTTTACCATCTTTGGTTTCACCACCCAAATATTCCTCTTTGTAAATTACTTCACATTTAACACAAGTAAATTTCTCATCATTTTTCTTATTCTTTTTGCTTTCTAAGTAATCATCTGCCACACTTTCCTGAGCCTCAGTAATTTTCTTACAAGAAGAACAATGATTTCTTAAAAGGTTTCAAGTTCAAAATTTTTTTCCACAACGATAACATTGAAAATTAAGGAATTTACCAACAATAACCACTAGGTATAATGCTATGATACCACCAATAATCTCTACCATATTACTTTTGAATTAATTGATAGGGGTTATTTTTCCTACTACTTTTAGTTTTTGCTCTCTCTCTCTCTCTCCGAAAAGAGGATTATTTTTTCTGTATTTTCTTTCATATACTATTATTTTAAGAGAGGACACAGACCTATTAACAAAAGTTTTCTTATCATATTACTAAAATTAATTATAATAACAATCATGACAAGGAAATTAAAACACTGTTCTGAATGTAATCAAGAAGTAGAGACAGTAAAGAAATCAGATTTTGATAAATTGTTAAAAGCTTCTCTTAATACTCCATCTTTGACTCTTAAAGAACTAAAAGCTAGACTTAAAAGAGAAAGAGAAGGGAGAAAAAACTCTAAATAATTGGTGTCAGATTGTAAGTTATTGCCTAAATATATAATATTATGAAAGAAAACTTAGCAAGTAAACCGTTCGAAGAAATTTATTGAGAAGAGAGTTAACTAAACAAAAATTAAAAGAAATGATAGAAATATTAAGCAGTGAATATTATCATTCTGAAAAATATCCTTTTTGTGCTACTGCCAAAATTAAGCATTTTAACCGTTTAAGTAGAAATTAATCTGTCAAAATATCTTAGAAAGATAAGAAACACAAAAAGTAGCCAAAACGCAAAGAGATTAAC